AACTAACAAAATAATTGAAATATGCATGAAAACCCATATTCAAAACTAACTTGCCTGGCCGCCACGCCATATTGAATTTGGTCTCATCCAATCAAAATTCGTATAACCATTTCTAGACTCAGTTGAAAGAGCCTCCAAAAGTTACTTTACCGCGGCCGATTTGGAACGTGTAAAGCCAACCGTTTTTGGCACGCTGAAGCCGAACTTGAACGCAATATGCCAATTTTGGCTCGGCTTTAGCCGTTTTTGAACGCAGCCCAGCAATACATTCCAAAATATGTTAAAAATCATAGCTAATTGTCAAAATGGGAGCTTTTTCTGATTTGGGTATTTTGTAGTACATAATATTTTCTTATATATTATTATCCCATCTCATATAATTTTATACAGGCTCTCCTATTTTCAGAACTCAAGTATCTGGCAACCCTAGTTGCGACTAAAAGATGAGAATCCTCCACCTGACTACTTGACCTGACTAGAGTGAGATTTGAGACATATATGACATTACAATTTGTTTATTATAGGTCATTATGAGGTGCTTTCTTTTCAGAGCTTTGAAACCCCGAGCTTCGATGCCCTGGGGGCGTCAGCGCACGCTCTGAAAAGAACGGAAATTAGGGGACATATAAGGTACGTCTGTTTCTGCAGAAATCACAAATCAGTCAGAGTGAATTTCATTGGTTAAAACTAGTTTGCTGACTGTTTCTGTTTTCAAACAATGAAATTCGCTCTGACTGGTTTGTGATTTCTGCAGAAACAGGCCTATAATTATCTGACACTAGTGACAGTTCGGACACTGAGGCTGTGGAGCGTTCGACGCCTCTCTGAGGTGCTAGCGGTGGGGATAGACGACCCCGGGGCTTGAGGCCCTGAGCCGCTTTCCAGTATGCACATTGGCGCGCCCTGGCCAGCCCTGGCGCGCTCTAGAGCACCCCGGGGGCGCCACGCGCTAGATTTGTACCGTTCCAGTATCATGGCGTGATACGCCTGTCTTAGTGTCAAATATGTCAAATTTTAAAAATAATTATCTTTGTTGGTGCAGGTTTGTTTTTTTTATTTATCAAAAATTGAAGAAACTCAAAACTATATTTTGGAAATGTTCGATCCCGAGAAATAAACAAATAAATAAATAGCCACCCACGGATGTGACAAATGAAAGGTTGACGGGTACGTACAGCTCGGGAGCTCAACGCCCTGAGTAGCTCCGGGCGTCACACTCTCATACTGGAAAGCAGCTCTGATTAAAAAGAACAGTTGACACATTTCAAAATTGTGATCCAGGGCGCCCAAGCCTCTGAAAAGAAAGCAGCAATTGTATCAAATCTGTGATTTGATTACTGTGATTTGCTTTGCTAATTTTAGACAAACTTGGTGAGTAAACCACTCGGTCACCGTTCGAATACCTAGAGCAAGATGTCGGACCACTCGGACCCCCACTCCTTGAAATAATTTTCATACCAACAATGTTCTCGAACGCAACCCAGTATACTCGAGTATGTTTGATTATCCTCGCGCACGAAAAATTGTCTAGTGTACTCTCTGTGACGTCACGTTATTCCGTAATCGCTCTGCTCTATCCGCCGAGCGTCGGCCCAAACACGCCCTTCGTTCCCTTCCGTAATCCCTCTTCACGCTTCGCTGAACAAAGATAAGAGGCGATTTCTCGCGTCTCAATTGTTTCAAAACATTTGTCAAAACTGGTTTAAGTAATATCACCATGACGTCATAATTTTTTGGCGCGAGAAAATGGTTTGAAAACGTGGAATGGATTGTATTTCGAAACGGTTTGAACCAATTTTGACGTGACTTCATGAGTTTATCTCGAGACTGTAGTTTTTCAAAACAGTTTCAAAAAAGTGGACACGAGAAAGTGCCTAAGATATGGGCCTGAGTTTGGCTTTACACTCGGTGAACTCCAAGCGCGCTCGAAACAAAGATTCTGTTCGTTTTAGCTCTCAGAGTGTTTTCTTTTGCGTTCGGATTACAATCGTTACAATCGTCGGATGATACACACAGTATTGTGGGCTGTGTTAGTGTGTATCATCCTTGCAGTACTACTACCGATAGCCTATCCGCATAAGGCCTGTTTGGAACAAATCCCCCCTCCCCAACCCCACGTCAAATCAGCACTTGTGACGTAGGCAGTATGTTATTTCTCGCCTTGACGTAGGTTGTTTAAACAACTGACGACCTAGTTAATGACGTCGTCAATGGTGATTCACCAATATGGCTGCGTTACCAAAAACGAAGCCGATCCTTAATTAGGCAATTCAATCCATCTGTCAGATAGGAAAATTCAATATGACGTGGCGGCCAAGCAAGTTTGTTTTGAATGTGTTTTTATGCGTATTTCAAATTATTTTGCTTAGAGTTTTGCTTGCAACTTTGATTTGGATTATTTAATAAAATATTTGTTGACTAGGTACCATCGTCACCAAAAGTATCTGGGACACAAATAATGCATAATAATCTCCTGGACTAATTCTACTGTCATTCATTTCAATGCATTTAAATTATAGTTTGACAAATATTTGACAATGAAATTTATATAATAGGACAAGAGCTAATGTGATGCTGTCCCAGTTACTTTTGGTGACGATGGTACCTAAACTAATAAATCTGGCAGAATCTAGATATTTTTTTGTGTTTCTTGGCCCATGTGTGGCCGCCACGCCATCTTGAAAGTCACGTGGTTTGAATTGCCTAATAGTGTCTATCATTCGTGCATGCACTCTGAGTTCGCTTTCTTTTTTTTTTGGGCTGGAATTCTGTGACGAATAGAGATATTTTCCCTATCTCTATTGACGTCTCCTCTCTATTGATTTCGAAAAGAGAGAAGAAGACAGCAGTAAGTGCCATAGCGATATCGATAACGAAACGATCTCTATCCGTTAACAGAATTACGCCTCTCTGTGGGGCCGTGGGCTCTGGATGGGATGGATGGATGGAGAACCAAAGAATAAAAATTATAAAGAAATTAGTTGTTAACTGTCACTTTTGAGAGATTACAACCAAAAATATTGTTACCAAAAAAATAATTCGGTTTGTACTGGTTTCTGCGTTTTCGGTTTTTGAAAATGAAACTGGAACTGCTTATCATCATAGGGATAGGGAATGTTTTTTCAGCAAAGTGGCAACTGTACCTAAGTTTCAGGATTTTTTTTTTTCGATCAGCGTCAAGGATCAGCGTACGGCGCATCACAATAGCCGCTTTTCAGTTGATTATTTTGAATGAGCACTCAATCGAGTTCTTGGGCGCGCAAGTGCTTCAAGCGCAAGTTCGTGTTCCACCAGTACTGCGCTTCGAAAGCTGCTCACTTTCGCGTTTCAAACACAGAACACTGTGCTGCACCGTGTTTGAAGCACAAACAGTCAGCTGAAAGCGGCTTTCATGCAGCAAGCACTCTGCGTTTGACGTCACGATATCCACGCTCATATCGTTCCGCTCCGTGGAGTGCAAAAGCGGAACCACTAGGCCAAACTGTCAGTTCGTAAATCGTAGGACGTGTAAACGTCTCACGACAATTTATACTTTTTGCCTTCCTGTTTTAACAAATGGAAATTGACTGAAACAAATCAATGACGTCAAAAACGTTCGATAGTTCCTAAATCTTAAACCAAAAGTCAATAGCTTTGTTTTGGTTCGATATTTGGAACGGGTTTAGGATTGCGCAGAACTGGCTTTTGCACAAAAAAATATAGAGGACTGTTCTAATACTAGAGCTGCTTTCTTTTCAGTGGCTTGGGCGCCCCAAGACGATTTTGAAATGTGTCAACCGTTCTTTTTTATCGGGGCGTCAAGCCCCGGGGTCGTCTATCCCCACCGCTAGCGCCTTAGCGAGGCGTCGAAGCTCCACAGCTCTACAGTGACTCTATAACCCACAGTGGCGACAATTACTGTCTCATTTTTGTATGGTTCTAAAATCCCATATATTTATATTTGAAAACGCCGCCATCTTGTTCCCAACCCCTTGTTACTTTTAAATATGAATACATGGGATTTAGGTGAACATCCATCATAAATCATGGAAAACAACGTATTTGATGGACCTAATAATGGTCATCAAATACGTCGATTTCAATTTTTTATGGTAGATGTTCATTTAAATCCTATATAATAATATTTAAAAGTAACAAGAGGTTGGGAACAAGATGGCGACGGGACCTCTATTGTCATCACTTTATGTAAAGGTTTATTTAAGTTGTATTCCTTTCGAGAGCTAGAAACACTCGAGCTACTAGCTTCGGTGTTTAGTCGCCCACGATTTGCAGGGAACATATGCGTGGTGCAACAAACACTTTTCGAAAGGAATAAACGCGTGAAGCCCCGGAGCTGTTCCGGAGCTCTTCCTAGGTGTGGAAGGAATACAACTATAGCCACTGTACACAGCTCCATTGTTCGAACTGTCACTAGTGTCATAATTACTGTTCTTTTCAGAGCGTGCAAGGAGCGTGCACTGACGCGTCCCAGGGCATCGAAGCCCGGGGTTTCAAAGCTCTGAAAAAAAAAATGTTCTGTCTAAACCGATTCGGAACCAAAAAAACCAAAACATGCCGCAAATTACAAAATTCTTAAACAGTTCCTCCTTCAGAGCAAGAACTGAGAAAACCGTTCTAGAACAGTTCCAGAAATGTTCTTAAATAGTTCTAGATAAACCAAAAAACTGTCAACACCTTCCAAACGAAAACGCGTTTTATAATATGCAGAATGATTCCGAACCAGAGATATGTGTTCCGAACTAGTTCTGAGTGAAATCAAAACAAAGCTAAAATATTCATTTTAATTTGTCAAAAAAATTGAATGTGTCATATGAATAATGAACCGTGAAGCGATACCACGTGGATACCACTATTTGAGTAAGCAAAAAACTGAGAAGAAGAGCAAAGGGCTAAATTTTCCAGTTTTTTCGGATACCAAGAGTACTCCCAGTTTTTTCGAGGTCGCAAACTGTTCTTGAACGCAGCCCCAGGAAGCTATCTCATTTCTAACCTAACAGTTTTGCGTTTTCATTTCACTGTTTTTGTTTGCCGAAAAAACAATTTTCCTTAGGGAATTATGAATTGTGTTTTTGTTTCCGTGATTCAAATATTAGTGAACTTGGAATATTTTTTCTTCCTCTAATCACCAAAATTCCTTTTCAAAGATCGGGAATCGGGGTCATCGAACTGAATGTGGAAATAGTTATTTTCCTAACAAGTGCGCAAAGTGTTACTTTTCCGCACGCAAACACAGTTATACGAACGACGCGAAGCGGAGTTTGGATAAGTGTTTGCGTGCGGAAAAGACACTTTGCGCACGTGTTAGGAACTAAATTTTTCCTACGAGCTTCATATCAGGTAGGTAACAACAAAAATTTAGAAAAAAAAATTATTTGTTCAACTATTTTTAATTAACTTGAAGCGAACCTATGCAGTTATCAAAAAATTACATAACAAAAAAAAAAAAAATAACAGAAAATCATCGTCAGAGCCCTTTTTTTAAAACGTTTAAATTTGATGAGAAAGTTTGTAGATTCTTGCATATCAATAGAGAACAAATCTGACAATGTGTCAAAGTTAATTAAATTTGGTGTTTGTATAGATGTTGGCTGATATAGAAACAGAGGAAAAATTTGTCATCATTTGTCAACGTCGACAGGTGCCCTTATTGTTGCTTGACAATTATTTTTACTTTTCGGCACTCAGTGCGGATAAGGCCTGTATCCGCACTGAGTGCGGAAAAGTGTAACTTTGAGAACCGAAATGCGTGCGGAAAAGTACTACTTTGCGCACGCTCGTAGGAAAAAGGTATTTTTCAATGTATTAGTTTAGGCAGTGGATAGAGGTGCGAAAATTCGGATCTCTAGTGGAGGCTGTGCTAGTGGTCATACTAAAGATCCGATAATTTTCGGATTTTTAATTTGTATATTAGGGGTCCGAAAATGCGGATCTTTAGTGGTAATATCGAAGATCCAAAAATAGATGTTTATTTCTAATTCTGTCTAATTAAGGAGTATCGTCGCAAGTATCTACAAAGAATAATATTCGAGATAAGTCTGTTTCTGCAGAAATCACAAACCAGTCAGAGTGAATTTCATTGGTTGATACTAGTTTTCTGACTGTTTCTGACTGTTTTCAACCAATGAAATTTGCTCTGACTAATTTGTGATTTCTGCAGAAACAGACTTATCTTGAATATTATTCTTTGTAGATATTTGTGACACCATTTTAATGAAACTAGCCCAGGAACCAAATACTACTGCACAAACCAATTAGAAGAAAAAATAAAAAGTATTAAATTTCCTTTAAAACCCATAAAGGAAGACCCAAGGGACTTCAATTAACTGCAATTGGACTAAAAAGGTCTAAGAAAAATAAAAGTGTTTTATTCAAAAATGAAGTTCCTAAACTGAGGCACCAGATAATGCTTATAGTTGGGGAGCTGGCGTCAAAAACATGCAAGAGTTTTCGCAAGGCGGATATTTTCAAAATAGGTCGTACTTTAGTGCTAGAATGCTAGTGTACAGTCAGCACTCACAGTTCCGGGACAGCTGGCTCTGGGACGCGGGCAAAGTTGTAATTTTAAGAAGCATCTAAACTGTTTTCTCAAAGCTCAAAATTTATAGAAATTTTGCACATTATCTGTTTGAAGGTCACAGATAACGTATGTAAATCGTCAGACGTCTAGTTCGTTGCAAAAAGGGGGTCAGACGTCCTCAAAGTTCTTATTTTATGGCATTTTCTTCAAATATATTTGTCAAATACCTGCAAAAATATATTTTGACAGGACACCGAAGAAAATGCCATAAAATAAAAACTTTGAGGACGTCTGACCCCCTTTTTGCAACGAACTAGACGTCTGACGATTTACATACGTTATCTGTGACCTTCAAACAGATAATGTGCAAAATTTCTATAAATTTTGAGCTTTGAGAAAATAGTTTAGATGCTTCTTAAAATTACAACTTTGCTCGCGTCCCAGAGCCAGCTGTCCCGGAACTGTGACTGCTGACTGTACACTAGCATTCTAGCACTAAAGTACAACCTATTTTGAAAATATCCGCCTTGCGAAAACTCTTGCATGTTTTTGGCGCCACCTCCTGGACTATTAATGCAGTTTCAAATACAGATGATTTGGTAAGTAAAGCATTACTTAAAAACTTTAAAAATGAGAAATAAAACATTCCCCATCAGGTTCCATCATACTATACGGAAACACTAAAACTTACAAGTTCGATATACTTTCTTCATAAAACCGTTTAGTTCCTCTTTAAAATGTTCAATTAGATGCGGAAAACATTAAATATTCTTATGAAAAAATTAATTTACTGAAATTCATACAGGAAAATATTTGTCATTTAATTTACGAAGATTATTGATTTTATGTTTTTTTTTTTTAAGTTGAAAAAGTTCCTAAAATCAGATCATCTTTTTCTTTACGAGACCCAGAAAAAAATTACTTTACTATTGATTAATATTTTATTTATGTGTCATTATCAAAAAACAGAGCGATAGTGATATTAAACTGATAAGAATTGATATTATTCATTGATCTGTGTCAAAGGTTGAGAAGAGGATCGTCTGTTATAATTTTTATTCTATTTAGGCGGAGAGAATCATTTGGTAAAGATTGATGAATCGGTAATTTCTAAAAGAAAATATAACTGAGGTCGTTTGGTGAAAGAGTCGTGGATATTAAGAATTTATGATGCGACTGAAAAAAGGGAATATATTCAATATGTCAAATATCGATCCGCTGCGATTCTTTTACCGATTATAAGAAAACATGTAAGGGTCGGATTGATTACGTCCACCTCGACGTCCACCGAACAGTAAACCATACCAAATATTTCAAAGATCCCATTACAGGGGTCTGTACCAACCAGGTGGAAGGGTATTGGTCTGGCTTGAAAAAATATCTCAGAGCTATGGGTGTTATGCATTCAAAATATTTGTCACAATATATTGACATTTATTATGTGGAAGCAGATATATGGCAAAAATGCCATTCAACGAATGTAAAACTTAACATTGCAAATTGAACAAAAATATTAAATGGTTTTCTATAAAATTATTTAGTTGATTAATTACATATTTTGTTCCCTAAGGAAGTTTGCTTTGTTTAGTTTTAGTGGTTCTTAATTCAACTTTTCCATTTTTATATTATAATGTATAGATACAAATGGTTAATGGAACTTATTAGTAAGAAATATAAATAAAACCTCTAAGTGAAACTATGACTATGGTTTTTTTAATGTTTATTATTATTTAAGCTCAGAAAATATCACACAATGTGGAAACGTTGATTGCACCTTGCATTTTTATTACGTTTAATGTCGTATTAATGGTCGGCGCACTCGTATTACTTGGCTTTGAGCCAGCTTTTTTAGTTCACTCGTGACCGCTGATGGCTCTGCTGGTCTTATAAAACTGAGGTTATGAAAGTGAAAATGAAACAAATACCGAATGTTCTGTGTACCGAATCCTTTATCGGAAATGTCATTGTCATTTGGCCTTGCCATATTTCAAAATTTAAATTTAAATTGTCTTTTGATTGTGTTTATTCTTGTGAAAAACTAGGGACTCGACAAACCTCTGCAGTCTGCAAACAGTGGTGACGATGAATAGAGGCCCCGCCGCCATATTTTTGAAATTTCAAATATAAATACATAGGAATTATTGGATATAAATGGATATCTATCATCAAAATTTGGAGGTAACGTATTTCTCTGACTAAAATTCAAATACGTTATTTTTAATTTTTTATAATAGACATGGATATATCCGAGGGGCATTCAGCCATTTATTTCCTATTATTCATATAAAAAATTTGCAAGAATATGGCAGCGAGACCTCCATTGTCGCCATTGTTTGAAGAGGGTTGTCGAGTTACTGAAAAAATTACAGGGAACTATCAATAACAAAGTGCCATCTTTCGGAGAATGACCGAACTAGTATTTATAGTTCACTCTCAGTCGGCAGAGGGCGCTAAAATACGACATGATATGTTAACATTGGAGAGTCCAGTCTATTTACCCCCTATATTAGTCTATGGTCGTATTCGATTTATGAAATGGTCAATTTCCGTCAGTTTAAACTGAATTTTCTTACAGAAAAATGAAAAAACCCGCATTTTTTTTTTCATAAAACGACTATTTGAGTTGTCTATTTTAATGTAAAAGCTTCAAAAATGTCAAATTCGTGTTTCCGGATAGTGTGATGGACCCCCTCATCATCAACAAATTGATCCACTTCTTCTTGAAAAAGAAATATCTTTAGCAGAAATAGAAACATATTTTTGTCTGGATTCTTATGTTTTATTACAAAAACGAATTGGAGAAAAACAAAATAGTATTCTAAAATGGATTTGTGATATATGTAACAAAGTGATACATGAAGATTGCTTATGGTGTGATTCATGTCTTCGGTGTAAACATAAAGTGTGTTGTTCAGTAACAAAGCTGCCTTCTAGTAAGAAAGCCTGGTTTTGCATGCAGTGCAGAAGGAACTAAATCACACCTCACATCTCTTACCCTATCAACCCTTAAAATGAAGAAATATTTATTTTTAATTATGTAATGTTTTAAAAAAATAAAAAGGTACCTACTTAGTTTTGTTTTTTGTACTTTTCTGTTTGAAATTTGCACCAACCAAATATTTTCGAGTGAACTTGATTAGCTATTCTACATAAAAAGAATTAGAGGATCCATTTTTTCTAGTATAAATCCTTAAAAATACAAGCATTTTATCAATTTTATTGAAATGGTATAATATTCCTTAATTACGACAGAATTAGAAATAAATATCTATTTTCGGATCTTCAATAATACCAATGAAGATCCGCATTTTTGGACCCCTAATATACAAATTGAAAATCCGAGAATTATCGGAACTTTAGTATGAACACTAGAGATCCGAATTTTCGGACCTCTATCCACTGCCATTAGTTTATGAGATTTCAATAAGTTGGCTCCGGTTCAAAACGGCGATATTTGAAATAAATAGCGACATGTTAAAGTGATAAAGTGATATATAAAATAGCGACATTCAAAACAGCGACATATCATATCACGGTGGATCCATTGATGAGCAGTCTATCTTTTTCTACTTTATAGAAAATCGGAATGACTGTTTCATAATGGTGGATATATCAGTAAGAAAAAAAAAACGCGCCAGTACTTTAATCATGAATGCGACATATCAATACAGCTATGCAAA